GGAAAAATACTGTCTTCATTTTAGCTCAGTAAATTGTATTTCCATAGTTTCCCTAACCGTCAGTACCGAACCTTTCTTCCTGCGTCAAAGCTACTTCGTGTTTGAAAAGCACGCTTTCACGGCTGGAAAGTTTTAAGGCAAATTGAAGCTCTTGTGCTTTATTGTTGGCACGAAAGGGGCAAAGAGGTGGTGCTTCGTGCTTGTTTGTAGGCTGGGTTCTGTAACACACGTGCTGATATTTGTCTACGGTCCTAATGTAGCAGTTCAACCGCAAGAGAGTTATTGAGATAAAATTGCATTTCATGGCTGTGAGACGTACCACTCCACGACAGATAGAGCCATGTATGTTGCACACAACCTTTACACCATCTCTAGTTCAATAAACCTTTATTGCACGATCAATAAATCTTTATTCCACTTGCTAAAAATGTATCGAAAGTAGGCCATAATACACCTTTTTAATTATTTAGCATAGGTAGGGGTTACCGAAACATGAAATGAAAAAGAAAAACTGATGGTTTCAGTTCTAGAAGATGAGAAATTGAGACATGGGGTCAGGCGCGGTTGTTTTGAGGCAAGCGAAGAGGCAAAGTTGTCGTTGTTATGGTAACAGTCCTTTAGGTTTTGTTTTGACGAAACCACTGCAGATTATTATTATTTTTTCCATTCTTTCGACACAACGAGGTTTTATTTATTTTAGAGGCGGCTGGTTTGCGATTTCATTTCTGTTTTAAAAAAAAATAGATATTTAACGGAAGAAAAAAATTGAACAATAAAAACACAAAGGCTTTCCCGGCATGCTCCGCGTTGCTACATAGACTGGCTTCGCCCGCCGCCATTTCAGTAGTGGAGGAGATCGAGTGTGGTGTGTGCTAATGGTTAAGCAGGGGGCAACTGTAAAATAAAACTACGAATCCGGGTTTTATTAGCTCAACATCGAAAGGCATCGTATTTAAAAAACAGCTTGTATTTGCCCTTTTCTTCTCCGGGTGCAGTTTTCCCATTTGTTTTCCGAAAAGCAACGTGTAAAACTTGACTGCGCCAAAATGTCGACTGAAACGCCAACTGAAAAGCCAGCCCAGGCGTAAGTACTTTCTTGTTGTTTTTTTGTTGTTGTTGTTCTTCTTAGCCGGTGGTGATTTCTATGTATCTCGGACTAGCCCTGTGTAATGTGAGGAGAGGGATTGATCTTCAGTCGTGATTGAAAGTGATGCGCGTTGCGTTATAATCTTAAGCCACGTTAAAGCCCTGTCACGCAGTTAGCCGGAAGGTTGCTGTTCGCGTTGTGCCGATCGGTGGAAATGTATCCGGCGAGTTTTTTTCCCTCCTAAAAGCCGCGAAGACAGCGTTATGAAACTGCAGTGAAAATAGCTTTTCTCCCCCCGTAAATTTACCTTTTTTTTCGCGAGAAGCAGAGAAAACGAGGCCGGCGGGGGGGGTATCTGTATTGGTGGCTGCAGAGTGCAGCTAGGCCGCAACGTGGGCGATTATCTGCTTTCAAACTCCGCCGCTGTTTTTTTTAACTGGGCCCAAGACGAATGGGTGTCGTAAATATTTAACAAGCCGGCGTTTTTTTCCAGTGTGATTCAGAAGTAGCCCGCATCTGCGTTTGCTTTGGACTCCGCTTGAATTGAGCGCCATTTTGGGGGGTCAGGGGCTTTATGTTCACCCCGAGTAATATCGCCCTTGTCGGCCCATTGCCCTTAGCAACAGACACGAGGGGGCAAAGGGAGGGGGGTGTCTGCCCTAGAGACATTGTCCCCCACCAATCGAAAACGTGCATTCGTCCCTTCGTTGTCGGTTCTCCACGCGAGTTTGGTTTGCTGCCACCCGAGCGACTGTTTCCAACCCCAGTTCTCCCTCTCGACTCCCCGCAGCGAGATCAACGGGAAGCCCACCCACGAGAGCCGGAAGGAGAGGCCGCAGAAGCGGGGCGGCGGCAGTCGCTTTGAGCCCTATGGGAGTTCCAAGCGATACCGGGTGTTCGTCAGCAACATCCCCTTTGACGTGAAGTGGCAGGCGCTGAAGGACCTCATGAAGGAGAAAGGTAATTTTTATTGAACCGGTAAGGAGCACGGGGGTGGATAGTCTTTTTTTTTTTACACCCACCCCCCCCAAAGAAAGCCGTGCTTGAAGAGCTATCGCTGGACGGCATGCTACGGGTGTTGTGGTCACATCTCCTGCACTCCCCCTTCTCCCCCACTCAAAAGAAAGTTTAACATAAGGCTCCACACCGCGGGCGTCTTTGTGAAGGTGGTACCACAGCCACGTAACTTCCTGGAGTCCGGCGTTTCTCGTTTCGGTTTTGTAATGGACTGTTGTTGGGCACCCATTGTTTTAGGAGGGTGATGTTTGAAAACGTATCCTTCCCCCACCTGGAACATTAAGGATCATTCCTGTGTGTGTGTTGGGCGTCTTGTTTTACTAGACGTGCTTTGTTATGCGCATGTAGTAGGATCTTTGTGGACATTCCTGGATCGACTGATTTGCACAGGGAGTTTTGCAAGTGGTGATTTTGCATATGCTGGTTATTCTTCGAAACCTAAGCATGCAGCATCAAACTTTTAAATCAAATGTAAAATCTGATGCCTCAAAAGAACTTACTTTCTGGTGCTTTGCAGAAGCTGCAAAAGGTTAGCGGCCAAGAGCCTGATGCACACATTGTTCAAAGCTTTGGACTGCTCTAAAAGCTTTACCAGCAGTGATTTGTTGTGCTCCCAACCTGATTTGGTTAAGATCTTGAACTTGGTTCAAGGAAAACGCTGGTTTGTTGTTTGAAGACTGCTTTGATATTGCTATGAGTTGGAACCATCTTGTTTCAACAAGTTGAAGGCAGTTGAGAATTCCATTTAAGAGACGTCCTTGGTTTTCTCGCATGGAAATGGAGTGTTTCGGAGATGAGATGTTAGCTTTCAACTTTCTGTAGTTGGAAAGCAAATTGTGAGGCCTAAATTCTATATTGAAATTCACTGTTTACCTTAAGTTTTATAGCAGGTATTCCATAATGGGAAATCACACTTAAGTGTGCGTCGACTATCGGCAGGGGTCAGCATCACAGTCTGCTCTCTTGAAGGTGCAGGCTTTTTGTCGATCGACTGGGTTATTGGAAGTCAGGTTGGCGATTTTGATGTTTTACAAATTTTCAAAAGCTACGCTGAATCTTCAGTGAGCCTTTAGATCACTCTTATGATTCAGTTGTTTAAGTTGGTGGTTTTCTATTAATTGGCTTTCATCAAGAAAATGACCAAGTGAATGTGGTTAGGAAATACATTTGGCCTTCTATAAAAGGCTTTTTGGAACCCGGGCAACCTCTGATGTGGATCTCTTGAAAATGTCATTTGTATTTAAGGTTGTCAAAGTTTTGTGATTGCCCAAATTCTTTAAGCAACCTTTGTAAAATCAGCTTGGGTTCTCTTGGATTAGATCCTTTATCCAAGCCATAATAGAGGAGGAGGTCCACTGTGGTTTTTTTTTTCTTGTCCATTTTCTGTGATGCAGATGTTGAAATCTCATTGCCATGCTGTTGGGACAAATCTGTGCAGCACAAAGATCCTACCAAAGGCGTAAAACTGTAATCATTCTGTGTAGTATTAAATTGCGTTTTCTTTTTTTAGGTTTACCACAGTGTGTGGTTACTGGCTGATGTCGCAGAGCAGAGATGTTCTTCAGATGTCACGTTGTACATGTCCAGACGCATGTTAGGGATTTGTTGGGGGTACAGGTCTACAAAGTAAAGCTGCTTCTTAAACTTATCCTTGTTTCAGCCTTGGATGGTTCAGGTCTGGCTAACGCTTGTTTGTTAATTTGATGGGCTCTTTGTGGTTGGGCCGCTGTAGGGAACTGTAGGAATGTCGTCCAAGCATAAAGATGGATTGGACCGTGCTGGGGTGTTCAAGTTGTGTGTTCATCGACCAACTTCGTCTCTTTGACTACCCAAAGGTATTCTTTAAATTGGCACGTTAAACTAGTTAAAAGGAATTGCACTGCAACCAGCTGAACTGGTGACGGCCATTTATAAGATCTTGGGGAGTTGCACATCTAAAGCTCTTGACATGTGGATAGGAGTCAAATAGGAGTTGTTAATGCTAGATATGCGTTTCTTCTGAAGTTGTACAGGTTGCAATACAGCAGGATTGTGAGCAGTAAACTGGTTGATCATAAATGTCGTGGATCTTCATGGCTTTGTTCTCAGATTTGTATATTCTTCCCATGAAGAATCCCCTGCTGTTAGCTTAAAATGGTGGTGGTATTACGAAATTGGATAGTTTTTTTTTTTAAAGCCCTGAGTGCAACCGGTCTTCAGTTGGTCCGGATTGATTTCAGGTGGTTGAGGACTACTTTGTCAAGGAAAAGTTAAGAAGGCATTTAAAAGCACATTTACTTTGTACACCTGTACCAGCAGTGTTGTGGTTAAGGGACTGGGAAGCTCTGAATTTGATAACCCAGCTCACGGTCATCGCACGGTTGTCTGTTTGTTCTAAACCCCCATTGTTTTCTTGGCTTCTCTCCCTTGGTGTGTGTCGTCTGGAATCTGATTTGTAGTGGGTGAGGTAACATACGTGGAACACTTAATGGACGCAGAAGGCAAGTCGAGGGTAAGTGAGAGACGAACATTTGTTCGTAAGCTTGAGTTCTTTTGTCAATGTTTGGATGTTCAGACTTGTGGAAATCACGGGTTTATCTTTGAAAAGAAGAAAAAACTTGTCACTGGTGAATAAGGCCCTGTTCACCAGGGTGAAAGAAGGTGAAATTCTTCTCTGTAATGTAGTCTTGATCAATGCTGAGTTTTGTGGGGAATGTATCCATTTGAGAATGTGGGCTTTGAACTGCCAGTCCTGTGGGAGTTGTGAATTTGGCAACTGGCACAGTTTCTCTCGTTGGATTGGATCTGGCGGAGTTTTAGCGCGTCCGTATCTCCTTAAAGCAGTTGACACCCTTCAGTTGGGTGGTTAAATGGCTTTATCGTATGGTGCTGTCGAAATACTTTGAAGGTACGCCCATGCATGTGTCCCACTCTTTGATTCAAGCATTCTAGGGTCGAGTTTACCCTGGGTGCTTTTGTACTCGATGTGGCAAAGGTGAAATGTTAGGCTCTCAAGGTAGAGTAAGATGCCTTCCTTGCATTTATGAAATGCTGCTGGCTTGGGCAAGGCTTGGTTCTGAAATTTGGTTCAGCTCTTTTTGTACTCAAATGGCAAGACATTGAGGATGTCATTCCTCAAAAAGGGACACGTTTATGCAAATAGGTAGTGGCTTCAGGGGACTTTGTGCATGGTTACCTCTAGGGTATGTGGTTAAAATGAAATGAACATGCTCCACATTTTACTGCTTTTTTTCCAGGGTCGGTAGATTTGTTTCACTGTCTAATTTTGTTTTTTCTCCTTTTCCCATTGCCCCTTTCAATGGCCTCTCCTGTGGTCAAAAGGGCTGTGCGTAAGTATCCTTTTAAAATTAAACTTTTTATATCTTTTAACTCCTCGGCGAAAGTAGTAACATTGTCTATGTTCAACAGTGTTGTTGAGTTCAGGACTGAAGAGCTAATGAAGAAAGCTGTGGAGAAGGTGAATAAGCACGTTCTGAATGGACGCCCCCTAAAAGTCAAAGAGGTAAGCCTGATGGCAGTGTTGAAAAGAGTTTAGTGAAGAATCTGTATTGCACAACTCCATGTCTTTAATGTTAAACTACTTTTCACTAAGTAGAATGAACATTTCCCTATTTTATTCCTACAGTGTAATGTGCTTACTATGATGGCTCTAATGTGAGGTGACTCTGATTAGCAGTAGTCCTGGGTGCATTGTGAGTGAATTGCTTGCCTTCTGGTTTTTAATCAACTTAAATGGTTTTAGCCCTTAATGTTTAACTCATAACTTGTGTAATGGTTTCATTTCCTATATTGCAGTTATACTTGAGTAAAAAGGTGTTCTTCCCTCCCTGTCTCCCCAGGATGTGGATGGGGAGTTCGCTCGTCGTGCTGCACAGAGAGCTGGAGGTGGCCCACCTCCTGGTGGCATGGGGATGGGAATGGGCCCAGGACCTGGTGGTCCGTCGATGGTCAATATCCCCCCCAGCCTCATGAATAACCCAAACATTCCCAGCGAGATCATCCATGGGCTACAGGCTGGCAAAATAGGAAGCACAGTCTTTGTCGCTAATGTAAGAAGGGGGGCTGATTTGCGACTACTTTGTTTTTAATGTCCAGTGTGACAGTTTGAGCTCATTATAAAGGAAAAAAGCTTTTCTCTTAAACTGCTTGTAGCTGATTGAACATTTATGGAATGCACATTCTGAGTATTTGTTTTGGGACTGTGATTGAGTTGCATGTGGTTTACATGATGGGGGTGTTAATTTTTCATGACTGTCAATCAATATGATTAAATGTAAATAGCAATTTAGGAGTAAATACTCGTTTTGTTTTCATCAGCTTGACTACAAGGTTGGCTGGAAGAAGCTGAAAGAGGTCTTTGGAATGGCTGGGAATGTTATACGCGCTGATATCCTGGAGGACAAGGATGGAAAAAGCCGTGGAATGGGAACAATCTCTTTTGAGTTGCCCATTGAGGCTGTCCAAGCTGTGTGTATCCTTTTTAAGCACTTGTCTGTGTCTGGATAAGGGGAGATATAAAATGTTTCAAATATTGATTGATTGGGTTCTTTTATAGCTTAGAATTTGCAGGTCTGGTCTAGGACTGCATTGTTTTCCTGTAAAATATAGAGTACTTAACAGCATAATACCTAGTTGATATTTGCCTGGAATTCAAATTAGAGACTTGGTCTTGTATGGTCACAGATGCAATCAATTCTATGCAGTTTTCCTTAGTGGCAACTCAGCAATGTTCAATGGACAGCTCCTATTCAACCGAGTCATGCACGTCAAACTGGTAAGTAGTTTTCCTCATCTTTCTTGATAGACTTTCTTGCCATTTCTTAACCCTTTTCCGGCTGTATATAAAATAAACATGGCAGTGATTTTGTGAATTCTCTCCTTGCAGGATGAGAAGTCTTTGCCGAAGGGTGACTTCCCACCACCAGAGAGACCACCACAGCTTCCCCGTAAGTTGGTGGTCCTCCCTGGTTACTAGACTTGTGAATTTTGTTTTTGAATTGTGAAACTTTATTTTGAGCAGCTAGAATACGTTGCAAGTTAATGTTTGACTCTTCTCCCGCCAGGTGGCCTGAGTGGTATTGGGCTGGGACTGGGACCAGGTGGCCAGCCCATCGATGCCAACCAGCTCAACAGAGGAGGTGGGGGAGGAATGGGAAACATGGGCCCAGGAGGTGAGGGCACTCAAATTGATCATAACTTAAATCACATGGACTAAAGACTGTGCATTGATTTTTATAAGTTGATACATAAACTTAGAGGAGTTTTTCGGCCTTTCTTCACAGGAATGGATGGGATGGGCTATGGCAACGTGGGCAGAATGGGTGGTACGTATTGTGTGCTTATCTAAACCTGGTCGCATGTCCTGTTGGTTTTGAAAAGCGTGGATTGATCTTGGAGTACTGTATTCTGGGGGTCATCCCTGGCCAGTGGTGCAGTAGAATGAGTGAGTGAGCATCCTTTTTCATTTTTTCTTAACCACAGGAATGGATAACTTTGGGGGGGGTATGAGTAGCATGGACCGCTATGGACCTTCTGGAATGGGGAGGATGAGCGGTAAGGACCATAACCATATTCCGTTATTCTGTTTGTTTTTTGTTCAGTTGATTCTTTGATTTAATTCCTGTATGCTTTTTACAGAGATGGAACGTGGCTTAGGAGGTGGCTATGATCGGGAGTTTGGCAGGAGTGAGATGGGAATGTCACGCAGTGGTTTTGGAGACTCCTTCGAAAGGGGAATGGGTTAGTATATTTTCGGTAAAGCTTTGTACTTTTATTCTCCATCTTGGAAACACATGACACCTTTTACATAGGACAGATTATCGTACAAGGCACGATGCTTTATTGCTCCATGTGCTTTTATTGAGGAATCCTCGTGATGTGTGCAGGATGCACTGCTTTTACTTAGGCTAGCAAACTTGTAAAATTAAAGTTGAAGGACTGTTTTAATATTGGCCTGATTCCCCCTCCTCCCCCATCTACAGGTAATTCTATGGGTATGGACCGCATGAGCTCTAATCTGGACCGCATGGGCTCTGGAATGGACCGCATGCCAGGGATGGACCGGGTCGGGATGGGAATGGACAGGATGGACCGTGTCTCTGACATGGACAGGCTGGGTTCTGGCTATGACCGGATGGGCTCCGGGCTTGACCGGCTCGGTCCCAGTATGGATCGGTTGGGATCGGGCCTAGACCGTATGAGCTCCCAGGTGGACCGCCTTGGCCCCGCCGGGTACGACCGTCTGGGCCCGTCCAATTTAGATCGGATGGGCTCCGGCATGGATTTCATGACCCCAATGGGCATGGATAGGATGAGCTCAGGCCTGGACAGGATGGGTTCCAGCTATGATCGTCTCGGGTCCACGGGCCTTGATCGTTTCCCCAGCTCTGGGCTCGACCGCATGGGCTCGAGCCTGGATCGGATGGGCTCTGGTGGAGTGGGAGCCCAGTTCGATAGACCTGCGGATCTGGAACGCGGAGGCTTTGGGGCCCCTTTTGGTGGAGCCGGTGGAGGAGGCCCTGGCTCTGGCATGAATGCCAGGAAGGGCTGCCAGATCTTTGTCAGAAATGTGAGTAATACAATGATCCTTTAACTTGTCCGAAGGGTGTCATTGATTTATCTGGCATTTTTGGGCTTCATGGTACGTGTGTGTGTTGAGGTTGATTGCTGTATTGTAGTTTTAATTTTCACCCCTGCAGAAAAATAACTGTTTCTAAATCTTATTTTTATTTTCCTTTATAGCTTCCCTTTGATTTCACCTGGAAGATGCTGAAAGACACCTTCAACTCCTGTGGTGAGTCCTACTTGTGAACATTTAACTTGATCCCTCGTTTTAGTTCTCAGGTGTTTGTCCACTAGTTTTAAAGGGATTTGGTAAGGCAGAGAGTCTTAATCTTCTTATGTTTTGTAAAATGGGCTGTATAGGCTTTCATTGCTACTTTCATGAGCTCCTACTGATATTTTGCATCTTTCTGTTCCTACATAGGTCATGTGCAATATGCCGACATTAAAATGGAAAACGGCAAGTCAAAGGGATGTGGCGTGGTGCGATTTGAGAATCCAGAGACCGCAGAGAGAGCCTGTCGCACGATGAATGGCTACAGGCTGAATGGGAGAGAGATCGATGTCAGGATTGACAGGAACGCATAATCTCTGCTCCACATGTGGAGTACTTAGTCTGTTCCCTTCTAGCTCTCTGTAAAATGAGGTGGCGTGAGAGTAAGAATTATGTATCTCATTTTGATTTTAGCGACCAAACTTTTTTTTTAATTTCACTGCCTTATGTTGAATTTTGATAATTAAATTCCAATATATAAAACCTGTGCCTCTCCTAGTTTTATTTTTCTTATAGCCTTCTCTGAATTTGTGCATATTGTAGCTGTTGATTATTAAATAAAAAAATGTAGGCTCCAAAACCAATGTCTTGAAGGGTTCTGAACAAGTTTATACAACGGAATGCCTTCTCCATGTTGATGGGAGACCACTGGTGTTGAAACATGGATTCTCCAGCATAGAAGAGTGTGTGTAAGTGTCTGAACATTGGATGCGTTTTCCCTTCTGTTGTGGATAATGCCAGGGGTGTTTGGTCTGTCCTAGCTGCTACTTTGCTAGCCTTCTTGGAGCCAATGGTAAAAAGCAAGATATAAAGGTATTGGTAGTCAGACTGTTAAAGTAAGTCTTCATGCAGGTCCTTTTAATCTACAACCATCTTGGGCTTGTTTTACAGATATACTGACCTATCTGACTTGAATTAACCGGGGGAAGGCTGTGCCAATGCCATTAAGTATGTCGAAAAGAGTATTCCCATTTAAATGGTCCCCTGGAGGAGTTATTCTGGAATAAATCTAAAACCTTATGTAGCCGATATTGGTGAAAATGCCAATATCCTTTGATAGATGAAAGGACCCCCGTTGTTCACGGTGGTGCAAGACTAACAAACATCATGCATTACGTACCTTCGGCGTTTACCCCTTCACATTTTTCAGGGTGTTTTCAGAAGCTTTGTTCAAAAAGTTCCTAAAGAAAATCCTGGGAATTAACCATTCTAAAGTAACCCAGGATCCCCTCTGCAATGGGTGTATAGCAGAGCTTCTGCCCCCCTCCTGGGCAGTCAGAGCAAGGTCTCTCACTGAAAACCCTCTGATATTACCCTAAATACTGGGAATGCATAAAGAAATCCCTTTGCACAGTTTTTGTGGAAAATTGCTTCCAGTCTTCATTAAATTCTAGGTTTTTCCAGATTGTGGTCTCCTCAGGCATAGCTTTGGATGAACAGTGGTATTCTTGATAAAGGAAAACCCTGATAATGGGAAGCTAAATGCATCGTCATAATTTTGGTCAGTATACTCAAAGCAATGCAAATTATTTTAAGTCTGAAAAGACCTTAATTTAGTAACTATTTTCAAGTCTGGGCACACCTCTTAAAACTATTAGAAGCACAAACCACTAAAATTGTATTGCAATAGACGAAAAACTAAAAGGGATTTTTAAAATTTACACATGTGGCCAGTGGACTGTGTGGAATTAATCCCGGTTCATCAGTATCTCATGCTGTTGAATTCACTTTGGAGAGAGACCTACTGTGGGTGAACATCTTGGGCTGGAAAACGACCAGGAAGGACGTAGAAAGTGACTAATTCTGTGGCAACATAAGCAGAATTGGTTAAGAACCGGATAACAAGGTAAACGCCCGTGTCCGGATGGATATGCAATGGAATAATTTGAAAGTTTCAATTGATGTACACAATACTTGACGGATTTTTTTAAAGGTTGTTCTATAATTAGTTGCTGCTTGCATACAGTGTGTAGCGCGGAATTTGACAAATGTGTAAAACGCCCGGGCACCAAAAGACCAATACCCTGACATTCAGCTTCAAAAAAATATACAGGATTATTTCTGGGAAGTCGCCCTTTCTGATTATTGCGGAGATTTTGGAGTTTACCCCCGGTCTGTCTGGTGTGAATATTTCCCTGGAATCTCTTTGGACGTAAACCTCGTGGAAAGCAAGTTAAGACTTTAGGGGAACAGTTAACAAGCGAGGTTATTTTTCAAGTCGGGCATGAAGTCCGCGCCTGGGTATATTGCCAGATGAGTTAAAGAGACATGTCACGGGAGGCGGAGTTACTCGACCGAAATTCTGTTCCTCCGTCGCGATTTGATGACGTCGAAGGTCAGCCGCCGAAAGGGTAGCACGCATTGCATCCAAGATGGCCGCCTCCTTGTGTCAGTGTTATCGGGTGAGATGTGACAAGACTTTTTTTTTGTTTGACTCTTTAGCACCTTTGGTTCTTTGAAAAAGGATTTTTTAAAATGGGAAAAACAGTCGAGTGGGTGTTTAACACGGCGCTGGCTGAAGCGCCGTGCCTTTTAGCAAAAGATGATTGAAGTCGTAAGCGCGAAAAAGCATTTTCCTGAGCTCATGAATTTCAAGAGATGACAACATGCCGGTTACTTCGACTGGGCCTTTTAAAAGATTAAGCTAACTGTAACTAAGTTCTGAGATGTAGTGAAGAACTTGCAATATGTGTTTGAATATAGCGCAGTGCGGTCGAGTGATTTCTTAAGGTACCTGAGTTAATAGTCTGATTTATCACGAATGCATGTGAGATTGAGTAAGCGAGGGGTAAGGTCTATGACCCAGCGAGCGCACAGGTATTCAATACAATGTTTAATCCGAAACTCGATCAGAATGAAAAGTTTGAGAAAAGGCGTTTAAGACAAACGACACCTTTCTCAGTCGACGTTCATCCTATTTCACTTTAGCTGTTGTACGTTTTAATCAGAAAAGGTTACGGCTCCCAGGTATGTACCGAGTACAATCTGCACATGCATGTAGGGGTTGAACCCAAATGATGCAGACAGAAATCAAATAAAAGATGCTTTAAAGGGCAATACTAATGCGGTTTCGGAGTATGAAATCCAACTTTAATATCTCAGCTGACCTTATAATGTAAAGGAAAATACATTTAGCACAGAATCCTAACCACACTGACTTAGAACCTTCCCTAATGCGTGCAGGTTAAACCATTTCTTACCGCGATTAAATTGGGTTTCAAATCAGGTGGTTTGTAGCCTAAAGGAGGCTTTTTTACTGTACCAAAAAGGTTTTTATAAGACCATCTATAGATTCCTTGATCTATCGCCTCTTCTTTTGAACGGCGTTCTCCCTTGCTTCTGTTTCTCACAGCTTTGTGCCCGAAGGAGTTTGCTCCTCCTGTCCAGTCGACCCTGTGTGTCCTCGTTCCAGAAACCCCACGTGTACAGGATATGTGGGTCTCCTGCAGCTTCACCACAGGTGACTCAAAATATTATTATTACCTGTTCATTTGACTGACCCGTATTTTCTACAGTCCTTGAAGGACTGCTGTGATCAACATACAGTATTTCATCTGATCTTTCGGTGTAGAATGCAGCTTAAATGGATTGATGTTAAAGGCATTGGTCTAGAATTACTGTGAAGTCATGTGCTGTGCAGATGTGATGGGCATCTAAAACAGGGATGAACGCACAACATATTTGGCCCTCAAACAGCCTCGAGGATTGCTGAACACTCGACAGACAGAGTAATTAAGAAGGCATATAAATGGTCTGTAGCTACTTTAAGGGTGTTTGATGGTTAAGATATTTTGACACCTCGCTGGTATTTAGCAGAGATTTTTCTGTATCCCTGGGGGGCTCTGTCTGCACTGAGCCAGTTTAAATTGATGGCTGGTTCTCTGGAGCTGGGGTCATCTCATTTCCCACGGCTGTGACCCGAACGTCTCTGTCCCAGGTGCGGTACGCATCTCAGGGCGGTGGGGGGCGGAAGGGCTTCCTCTCGGAGTTCGTCGACGGCCTGAAGCAGGAGCTGAGCAAGAACAAGGAGATGAAGGAAAACATCAGGAAGTTCCGGGAAGAGGCCAAGAAACTGGAGGAATCGGAGGCTCTGAAACAAGCCCGGAGGAAATACGTGAGTCTCGCCGAGCAGCAGTTTGATCCTTCTCAGGTTTTGAAAGCTGCGGGGTCTGGTGTATTAGCCAACGCTAGGTGCTGGGTGCTGATCACTTGGTTGTGAGTGAAGCTGATTGTAGGGAGGATGAGATTGTAGCAGACATTAGCTAGAGCTCATTAAGACAATACATTTTTTAGCAGTAACATTAACCCACTGTCACCATCTTCATATATCAACCATTGTTTTTTTATAATTGTTGTTTAGATTGAGAAGGCATGGCAGCAAAAGTAGGTAATCTGGGGCTCTCAATAGTGATGAACAATCTTCTAAATATCAATCATTTCATATTTGAGTGCTTTATTACCAAGGGGACCTCAGAGAAATAAGACAACAGACCTTTAAGGACTGGTCCTGAGCACCTAATGGTCTGAGCACTTTAATTGGGAGTCAGTCCGACCGAGAATGTCTGAGGTCATGGTGTTCACAGGGGGTTTTATTTCTGTTTCTCCCTTATGTCCAGAAAACAATTGAGTCAGAAACGGTGAAGACGTCTGAAGTGCTGAGGAAGAAGTTTGGGGAGATTTCGGAAACTGTGAAAGAGGTGGGTTTTTTTACAGAACCAAGCCACATGGCTTGTACTCCTGTTTCTGTATGTCTGGAGAGTGCAAGGTTTTTGCTTCTTTTTTGGTTTTTGTGCCAGCATTATTGATTGTCTGTGTTGCTAGATTGCTAGATGTCCTCTTGGTTTCATGTTCTCCTGGCTCAGTTCTGTGGTTCCGCTGTAAGGGGTTTGGCAGTTGTGTGGCAATGCCATCGGTCTGGCCGACAAGTGGAAACTACATGGAAGTGCATTTAAAAAAACAACAACAGGAAAGCGACTCTACACAGAGAGTTGTAGGAGAGTGGAACAAGCTACCCAGCTATGTAGTTATATCCTCGCTGAGTTCAAGAAACCGCTGGACAAGATCTTCTATGTGACTAGACTGGCTGAAAGGCCTCTTCCTTTTGTAATCTTTCTCACGTTCTTGTGGTTGTGGGCTTATGTCGGTGAGCTCCGAGAGCCCCGCAAGATCCCAATGGCCTCTCTCTGTGCTGGCAGGGCCTGGAGGAGGTGAGCCGCTCCGACCTGGGCAAGAAGATCAAGGAGGGAGTGGAGGAGGCCACCAAGACGGCCAAGCACTCCGCGGAGTCCGTGTCCAGGAGTGGGGAGAAATTGGGCAAGTCCGGCGCCTTCCGTGCCATCTCTCAGGTGAGCACCCCGTCCCTCCCCTGAAACCTCACCCTGACCCATACTATCCTTACATTCCTGATTGGGGGTTCAGGGGGTCACCACTATCCCTGAGAGCTTTCACTACTGTCTAGGTCACACAGTATTTCTGTCACGCTTATCCCGGTCATTTACTTCACATTGCTGCGGTCTTCT